GTCTTCTGGCGAGATCAACCTACGAGTCTTTCTATCAAGCATTTTCACACGAAATAAACGTCTCTCCAGCAATAGGGGAAATTTCACAGCATGTTTTGGTTGAGCTAGGAAAAATGAACAGGTTTAAACACTGAAAGGCAACAGGACGCAAAATCCACTACACACACACAAACACATACCTCCTTGTAGTCATGCTTTCAATATTATACTTGTGTAGAGATTATACGCTGCACCTTTATCGTCCAAGTCCCGCTGGGGATGCTGATGGGGCCTAGGAGAAGACAAAACGGCACTGCATCCCAGCCTGGATGAGGATACCTCTTATGAGAGCAAGACCATGTGAATTGCCATAGAAACGCATGCTTCTAGGAAAAGTCAACTACCAGTCGCCCTATCATCGCAAACGAAATATAATGAATGCACCTTCATATAAAGGTAATATGTAAGGATTTGCCCACCTGGGAAATCTAGAGCAGCTGACCACGCAATGTCAGCGCTGGCCAGTTGATGGCTCAACCCATAGCTGCTAGGCGGGGACATCGAGTTGGTGGAGAGACCACTGGCAACTATGTTGCTCGTCTCCTCAGGCACCTCGACATCAGCATTGGCGTCGGCGTCCGTGTTGGCGTCTCTTCGTGTCGTCTCTGCGAATTCTCTCATTTCCGCTCGGACCGTTTGGTTCGACTGATCGTTGGAAGAGGAGATGAATTCACACGCTTTGATTGAAGGAGAGACGGTTTTGTCGTCACCCGTCCGGCAGGTGTATTTGTGGACTGAAAAGAAGGCTGGAGAAGGAGAGGCATTCGGTGTTGCTGTCTGCGTGAATGAGGCGGCAAATGTCGGTGGGAAAGAGGAGGGAGAGAAGGGAAGCAGTGGGAGTAGGGACGAGGAAGGAGAGGCGGAGGAGGAGGAGAAGGAGGAGGAGAGGGAGGAAGAGGAGGGAGGGGAGGAAGAAGATGAGGAGGAAGAGGAGGGAGAGGAGAAGGAGGAGGAGGAGATGGAGGAGAAAGAGGTGAAGGAAGGAGTGGGAGAGGAGAGTGGACTGAAACATGTGGCGGGAGAAGACGCGTACAGACTCGAGCCTGCCGTGCTGACCAAGCCCGAGCAACAAGTTGTTTCCACTATGGGCTTGACTACGGAGATGGAGGCAGAGTCGCAGGCAAAGGCGTCGTTTGAAGGGTCAAAAGAGGACTGACAAGTCCAGTTGGGCATCACCAACTCCTCGAGCGCTTCATCTGCCATCACCATCGTCTCTGGCGACTGAGCCAGTCCGGCCTGGTCGAGAACCCTGGCACATGGCCCCACCGGCCAATCAGACTCCAGCTCAGACTTTCGGGATTCAGATAAAATGTGGTCGTCAAGCGTGGACTTGAGCAGGGAGATGTAGACGGGATGAGCATCGTCCGAGTTGAGCCGGTCAAAGTTGATATCGGCATCAGCGCGTTTTCGCTTGCTGAATGACTGACCCATGACATGCGGAGTTGCAGAATAGGCGTTTCTGAGAGTTGTATCAAAAGAAGTGCAAGAAGGCGGTCGCTTAAGTCCCGACGACTTCGGCTTCACTTCGATTTGTCTTGTTGGCATTAGCACCTCTTTCTGTCGGCCACACTCGAGGACCGTATCCTCGGGCACAATTCGACGAATCAGCAGCCGAGGTTGATGTACATCCTGGCCTGCTGTACCATGATCCGTAGAGGCTGACTGTAGCCCAACAAGCGGCAATGTTGCCAAATGGCCATGGTGAAGACGCAGTGTCGGGTGATCTACTGTAGGACCGTCTGACTGATTGGTGGGTAGATCCGGACGCTTCCGTTTTACGGTGGCCGTTCTTTGTCGGAGGTAAAAGGACAGATTGCCCGAAGAAGACTCTGATGCTGCTGCTGATGCTGCTGCTGCTGATGCTGTCAGTGATGGAGATGAGGCTGGCGATAATACGACCGGCATCATGGGTGTCATGACACCGCTGTTTGCCTGACGCATTGTTTAAGTTGGCTATTTGATAAGAGCCTCTTCAGTTATGTCGTCTGAAGTGAGGGGAAGAGAGCAGAAATGACACAACCGTTAACATTCTTTTCACGATGTAGCCAGTTTTCGAGACCATCAGTAATCCTTGAATAAAAACCAAGTCAGCCAAGGTTGGTTAAGGTGAATCTACGACAGTCGAGCTAACGAGTCAGGAATTTCACCACTTCATCTTTAAATGCTGTACATATACTCTATATCTGAGCCTTTTTATGAGGTATAAAAGGGACAGAAGACCACACCATCTTGGTCTTCATATCTACGATAAATTAGTTAGGTTATTTCTAGTCATATGTCAACCTCGGAATATATGAGTGTGTTTTTCTCTGTATGCATTCGCATATGTATGAAACCAGCAGGGATGGTTCAAAGTAATTAGGACAGCAAAAGTCACTCCTGATCTTGGCCATCAAGATTTGATGACCACAACCACCATCTTTCTATGTGTATGTTTTATCCATCACTCCGATTGCGCAAGGTCAGACACACATTTAGTTATGTGGATGAGCTTTTTTTGTTTTCACATGAGAGAGAAAGAATGGGCTAAAAGTACAGAGGAATGACCGTGATTAGAACCAAGAAATGAAATGCAAAGACTAGCTGAGTCGCCTCCTTTCTGCAGGCGACTCAACCCCGTCTCTATCCTTGAGTCTATTAATTAAATGGGATGTTGTTGAGCTTAATTTCATTTCAAGTGAAATTTTTGGGTGAAGAATTTCGAAGGTGGGATCCACCAGAAGACGACGGCGGATTTCTCTTGACCAGCTGTCAATTGGCTTTACTGGAAGATTCATGCCGACGCTGTTCCCGAGGTATTATCATTCGATTTCGGTGAAAAGGTGGTGAGCTTTCGTCCGTCATATGACGAACATCATCAGAGCAAGGTATCATCATCACAGCACAATTCAAGCCAACGAGTCAAGAAAACTCACCGGCAAATCCATAAAAAGTGGTAGATATACTCTACATCTGGTCTCTTTGATCAAGTATAAAGTGATTTTGTTAGTTACGGTCATATGTCAACTTCGAAGCATGTGAGTGTGTATGTCTCGGTATTTGTATATGCCTGTTTGTGTTCGCTTATGCACGAAACCGAATCACTTTATATTTGATCAGAGGCCAGATGTAGGTATATATACCACTTTTTATGGATTTGCAGGTGAGTTTTCTTGACTCGTTAGCTTGAATTTTGTTGTGACGATGTTGCCTCGCTCTGATGATGTCCGTCATATGACGGACGAAAGCTTAGCACCTTTTCACCGGAATCGGAGGAGATTGCCTCGGAAACAGCGTCAGCATGAATCTTCCAGTAAAGCCAATCGACAGCTGGTCAGGAGGAATCCGCCGTCATCTTCTGGTGGAAACGACCTTCGAATCTCTTCACCCAACACTTTAACCCGAAATGGAAGTAAGCTCAACAATTATGAAACAAGAGATCCCTCGAAACCCAACTTTCTTCGCATAAATGAGATGTTACTGGTCGTCTCGAAACTCTACTTCCATACGAAAAATCTATTAATTAAGCATAAGTCGTCTTTACTTTACTTCTTGCCGGTTTTCTATACATTTAATATATTGACTATTCGGCTAATATCGACAGCTTCTCTAATTATACATTACAGCATTACACCCAAATGGATTTGCTACCGGGTTGTGGGTTGCATGGGTGCCTTACGATTGCATTACATCTCAACAGGTGTCAGCAGTTCACAGGGCAGATGTTACATTTATAGTAGGGCTATCTATTAGGTAAATATATATTTGCCATTGCAATCGATGACGTTACTTGTTTTCGATGTAAGTAAGTTGGAGATAATCAACCAATTTAAAATGAAAAATAAACAACACTAGAAGAGAAGATGGATTTCTAATAGTCCTTTACTATATTGTGGCAGAAATTCGTTTTATATCATTTAAAAAAGTGAGTGGAAGGGATTCATAAATTTGCCTTACCGAAATCCCTGAAGAGGGATTTTCTTAAACCTGTGAATGCTGGGTTGTGTGAAGAAGACAACAGCGCATAGTCGTGTCACTTCATGCTGATTCCATGTTGAACTTACTCTCGTCGAATGAGATATACCTCGAGAGTCAGAAACCTTAATTTACGACAAATATACTGCGAAAAACTAAAACAACAAAGGTAATAAGCTGAACGCATACTTATATCTTTAAGCGAGCCTTTTGATCTTAATGAGTTAAACCATGATTTGGTCGGCTACTTTATGCCTACCATACGTGCATGCAGACGAGCAGAGTTGAATGAATGCGGTCACAGCTGTTTATTTACATGAATAAACTAGCGTAAGAACCTGCATTGCTGACAGCTATTTTAGGTTTTTGGATGCAAAAGAGAAGAAAAATAGCAAATGGCAATTAACAATTTTATTCGTATTGCGAAACTTACGAAATCACTAGTGGATCTTGAATAAGAGATGTATTCGCTCTATGCCGTTAAAAGTGTAGGAGTAGTTATAATTGAATTTTCCCACAATCAGATGACTTAACCTCATATTTCCATTTAATTTCACATAGCCATGCATCACAAAACGTATTCTCATCCGAATATCAGTCTTTAATTGACTTAAACTAAATAGGGTGAATACAGCTCTTTTTTATTTTTTACGGTTAGGTATGAAGCCTAATTCATATGA